ACCAGAGTTTACCCCTGCATATTGGAAGTTAATTTGTTAAGTTGGCCTCTGTCAGCAATGTGTTGCACAGACCTTATGTGTCCAGTAGCAATCAGTGCTAACCTATGCACTATCCAAAACATTTCTGTATTCTACCTATGCACTACTATCCTGTGCACCGCTATCCTGTGCACTATCTGACTTGTTCCGCCTGTGCACTATCTGACCTGATCCGCCTGTGCACTGCATAACCAGTGCACGTATTTACCCGTGCACTATTACCGCACAGTCGCCTATGCACCCACTACCCGGTGCGTATGTACAACTTTTAATATCCCTGCAACCTTATTCAGGTACACAGATAGATTCTTATTCAGAATCTATTTAATCTTTTATAAAGTGTAAATAATTATATAATTACCTTTTTGCTTCTTTGAGACGTCTGGACTATCCCTAAGCGACCCTTATTCTGACAGCGCATCAGCTTTTATACTAAGGTATTGGACCATACCATTTACTTTGGACGATACCAAATATCTTATTCCTATGAGTTGTTGTAGAATACCTAACCCTTATTGCTCAACCGTTTGAATGACGGCCCTTATTATTACAACTACCGATCGGTAATTTCCGGGTTTGCTTACCACAACCTGTCTGTTCCTGATTCTAAATATTATAAATTCCCATAGCAATGTAAACAAAAGAAAACCGAAAGTAGACAACCGTTCAATTTTCAAACTTAACGAGTTCGTATAACAATGTTTCAGCTTGATAAAAGTAATAATAAGTTGAACCTTAATAAAATAAAACAGGTGAACTATTTTCATCACAGTTCTATGATGAGTTTATTCAGTATCGCGTAATTGCATGGTGGAATGGATTTCAACCCTATACGAACACTTCGATTTCACTGTTACTGATTGACTTAATTGCCGTACTGTTTTTGATTTTTTTAATAGAACCAATCTTTTCTTTTTATGTTCTGTGTCAGTGTCAAATGAATATTGGTAGAATGTGGTGAATGGTAGTTGTGTAAATGAGTTAGCCTGATATTATAAGGACTATATGTTTTCCATAAAAGATCGTAGAATTTTGTAGATAATAATTTGTGCAATAAATTTTATTCAAGATAAAAAAAAGAGCAGTCCCAACTACTGTATCACCAGTCTGTCAAACACTTATTCTGTGAGTTCGAGCCCCGCACGCGGTAGGTGCATTCGAACCCAGTTTCAAATGACTAGTAAAGGCAACAGTAGTATACCGCTGTTCGAAACTCATAAATCGATAGAGATAAAAACAAATTCGGGTTACAAACTAAAACTGAGGGAAACGCATCAAATATAAGAGAACAACGACACAACAAAAACACAACATTAAAATGTAACACACACAGAAACGAACTATAATATAACAATGGCCATTTTTCTGACTTGGTACAGGACATTTTAAGAAAAAAATGGTGTGTTGAACCTGGTTTTGTGGCATGCCAAACCTCCCGCTTTAATGGCAACGTCAAACACAACACAAAAACGACAACATCACATGACTGGACCTGGATTGTCAATTTCTGCCGAAACTCCGTGGTTCTCTCCGGGCACTCCGGTTTCCTCAACCAACAAAAACTGAACGCCATAGAATTGAAATTGTGCTGAAAGCGGCGTTAAACACCAATCAATCAATCACTCACTGGTGAAGATCAATGAACATTATCAGATTAGTAACCCTTATCATTTTTAAAAAAAATTGTGGAATAATGGTAAGTTGGTATTCTTTATCATTTCAGAAAATTTAGAGCTCGACAAATGTTAATATAACACAGGCGCTTGTTTATTGTTGAGGGTGGCGTGTTAATAGCACATTAAAAAGATAACGGGGATCAACATGAATACTGCATAGTACAACAAACCTAATCAACCATCGAAACCGGACTTCTCTGAAAACAAAATAGATGTATAAACAACAACGAACAACACATAGTCCAGACAGTCTGAATTGGTACAAGCACAAATGTGGTGGGGTTAGATATGTGTTACCGGTTCACATACCTCCCTAAACACTTTAAAAAAAATTGTGTTTTTGTTGTAAATCTAGAAGTTTTGCCCTCATCGCCTTTATATAACTCGTACCCGTCGAATGTTTGAAAATAAGAGATCTACATCTGTGGTTTACAGTAATATCACCGCAACCGAGAACTACAAAAAACAACATGTACTATAACTTGTAGAGTTGATTTTTGGGCATTTTTTACATGACAAATGAGGGTCTGTATGAATGTAACTGCAACACGATAACGAGTGTAATAAAATATTTGTTATATATGTTATGTAGATTCACACAATATTTCGTAAGTCTAGCTAGCTTCATCAGACGCGTGTAGCTATCCAGATGAGCCGGATGCCGATATGAAAGTTTCGCAGATTTTTAGACCCTATATCTATGTATCTATGTATACATATATATAAAGAAATTATTAACCGAATTCCAACTATCATTTTAAGTTCATGAAAAAAACTTATCATTAAGTATTAAGATCACGCACAGGCCAACACGTCCCAAATAAAATATCCATTGTTTTTACCTTCGAAAAAATTTTAGTTTCTGGCCTTTACTTCTTCCTATTTATTATATATTAAGGTGGTATAAAGTTGACATCTAATGTCAGTTGAAATGTCATAAATCCATATGTAAATAGATGTAAATATAACCAATTAGGAAACAGAAACAATCTTTGTTTACATACAGACTTCTAGACTCAGCATCACTAGATCAACTATAATGATAATGTGGCCAAAAATATACTTTAACAATAACAACAACCGAGGATTTAATACAGTGACACATGTTTTAGTTGATGTTTTAACATTTTTCAAAAGTTTTGTTTAAAAAGGGACATTAGCTACGATATATAAAAAAAAATTAAAATATGACTTTTTTTGTTCAATCTTTAATGAAAGTGAAATAGTGAAATAATAATTCGCTTTTAGCAGCCAGTTTGGTTCAATTTTGTCAAAGTAAGCAAAGAAACATCGCTGATAAATTATCCACTTGCAAGTGAATAATTCGACCTCATTGAATCTGTATTCATGTGACCTTCAATTTAACCCTGTAGCTAGAGTTGGGTTACGATTGAATTAGGCCTGTTCAGTTATTTTAAGGAAAATAATGTCAACATTGAAAATGAAACAAGGGTAAACCATTGGATTGACTGATTCGCTCCACAAAAACTCATTCTTATACATATGGTGGCATATATCTGCCCCTACTTCTCACTTAGTTAAGTCGTCTTAATTAGCTAAATAGGTCGACTTGTCAGTTAATTAAGTCTACTTGTCACTTAGATTTTTCTAGGTCTAAGTCACATTATTTGTTATAAATATATGTTAATCATCGTTTTTACCTGTATATATGGCATATATCTGCCTCTACTTGTCACTTAGTTAAGTCGTCTTAATTAGCTAAATACATGTCGTGAAATGGGCAAAAACGCTAAAAGATGTTTTTATTTTCTACAAAATAGTTTCAGTTTATTATCTCACAAGTAGACTTTGGCCTTTGTAAGTCTTGAATTTAATATTATTTTTGTAAAATATTGCTCTTTTTTTTTGTTTATAAATATGGTCAAGTAAAGCAATATCAGATATTTCCAGTGGGCCAACTCTGCCCATTGAAACGCCAACGATCTGTTGCTAGACGTATAATAGTATAACTTCCATAGATCATTGACAATCATATTAGTTTGTAATTAGTTTCCATGTTACCTTCAACGGTTAGACATAATAATGAATTATCGATATTAGTTGCTTAACGTCCAGTAGCAAATATTTCATGTATGTTTAGGACTATCATATAGTGATGACATAAGGTTGTTTGCTAGTATAATAGTATAACTTCCATAGTTCATTGACATTAATATTAGTTTGTAATTCGTTTCCAAATAACCTTCTAAGGTTTGACATGATATAGCGATGAATTATAGATTGTTGGTTGCTTAACATCCAGTGGCAAATATTTTATGTATGTTTTGGACTATGATATAGTGATGACATAAGGTTGTTTGCTAGTATAATAGTATAACTTCCATAGTTCATTGACAATCATATTAGTTTGTAGTTAGTTTCCATGCTACCTTCTAAGGTTTGACATAATACAGCGATCAATTATTGATTGTGGTTTCTTAAAGTCCAGTGGCAAATATTTCATGTATGTTTAGGAGGATGATATATATAGTGATGACATAAGGTTGTTTGCTAGTATAATAGTATAACTTCCATAGATCATTGACAATCATATTAGTTCGTAATTAGTTTCCATGTTACCTTCTTAGGTTTGACATAGTGATGAATTATTGATTGTCGATTGCTTAACGTCCAGTTGCAAATATTTCATGTATGTTTAGGACTATGACATAGTGATGACATAAGGTTGTTTGCTAGTATAATAGTATAACTTCCATAGTTCATTGACAATCATATTAGTTTGTAGTTAGTTTTCATGCTACCTTTTAAGGTTTGACATGATACAGCGATTAATTATTGATTGTGGTTACTTAAAGTCCAGTGGCAAATAGTTTGTGTAGGTACCCTACCGGGTAGAAACATGATGATTTATCTATAAACAGTTTAAGACGTTTATTAAATTCGTCCTTGTTGCTACTATTCCTAAGAATTCTAGTCCCTTCTCCTTTAATAAAAGAATAGAAACAGTTTTTAGCATGGCTCGAGCTTCTATATAGAATTTCATAATACGAGTATTTATTTCAAAAGTGAATTTCAGCAGGTTATGTTTCTTTTTTGCTATTTCAAATAGTTGTTTAATTTGCTCACTGCTTCCATTTAATTTATCATAAAGCCATCATTTCTCTTGATTTACATGGTCTGTAAGCGTATTTTCTATAGCCGTTTTAATTTCATTGAAACTAAGATTAGTATATAACGATGTTATATCATAGGAAACAAGTAGATCATTCTGATCCGTGTAAGTATTTTCTATGTATCTGATAAAATCGCTAGTTTCTGATAGATATGTATCTTGTGTCTTCACCAGTGGAAGAAGAAAATAATCTAGGTATTTTCCAATATTAAGTAGTGGTACCAAACAATGGCTAATAATCGGTCGACCTGGTACATGTACTTTTTCTTTATTCATACATTTATTCTGGTACATTTCTAATGTTCCCGTACTAAGTTTGTGAATCTTAGGAAGAAAGTAGGCTTTTGGAGTTTTAAAAGTTTTACCTTCTTCTCGTAAGAATTTGAAAGATATTTCGTCTATTTCATCATTTATTTCATACGGTATACCATTTTATTGACTATTTTTCTGGTGTTTTCTATGTCAATATTCATTATTTTAGTATAGTGAATACCGTCATTTAATTGGGATTCGACTTCAGTAAAATAATCACGTTTATTTTGTATTACAGTCGTATTATTTTTGTCGGCTTTATGAATACATATAGTATTGTCGATACTAGCTACAACGTAGACCTATATGCACGTGTAGTAAATTGGAGAAAGAAACCAAAAAAACTGTTATGAAACAGACACACATCTATCTACAATGTTAGATATGAAAGGTCGGCCTCTGATGAGGGTTTACCTGGGAATATTTCCGAAAGAACCCGAAACATTGCAAATTAAATTCTAAAGAATTAAGCAACTATTATTAAAAGTACGTAGTGTCAGGTCAGAAATATTGATGCCATACCATGAATAAGTGGGTTTATGGTCATTTTATAAAACAATTAGATTGTGGTTTATCATCTACGTTGTATGGTCTGATAAGTACCGAACATGACCTATTCCCGAATATGACTGTTTTGCCGAGTGTGAATTCGCATTGCTATAAGACGTGTCTTGGTATTTATATATCCAACATTCGTGTATTTAAGGATGTTCACTCCTCTTGTTTTTGAATTTTTGCCACCCTTCATTATTTGCTGCTATTTTAGTTCCTTTATTTATATAATATCAATTTATAACAGTCTTTTAAGGAGCTTGTTATTTTGAAACAGAGTAACGAACATCCTTAATTATAATGTTTCTTTTGTAAGTCTTGTTGGATATTGTGTTATGTCTTATCGTTTATGGTTAGAATTCTATTTTTATTTTCTATATGAATGAAAAAGTTAAGATAATTAATTAGCTAGTTCATTTATATGATATTTAGTTTAAAACAACTATATGCACAGGATTATATGTTTTTACACAGTTTTGATGTAGGTAGCAATATACAGTTAGGACAAAAATTTAAATTTAATCTTCTAATTTTTACCATCCCCTTTTCCTTGCTTTCTTACAAATTAAGCTACTGTTTGTGTCATATATGTGCATTTATGTAATCAGTATCTTTCATAGATTTGATATCCAGTAGTTGAAATGGTTAAAAATAACCTCTTTGGTGTATCCATGGCAACAACTTGCATGTATTTGCTATAAAATATTGCAAAAAGGGGGGTGGGTGGGTAAAGATGTCACATATTTCCCAAAAAATTAGACACAAGTAGAATTTCAATCCCTTGGAGTGATACCTTTTCGGCAATTGTTTACATGTATCTATCTATAGATCAAATAAAAATCATTTGTCTTTCGTCTCATTTTTTTTTAATTGCGTCAAACAGTTCGAAAGAAAAAAGTGTTTGTAAACAGTTCACAAATTTCTTGACCTGTGGTTGGTCTGGCTATGAAAATACGGGCATTCAAACATAAAATAGCCCATAAAACATGTAAAAATAAACTTGATGTACTTATAAACCCACTTTGAAGGCTAAAAAAAGGTCTTCAGGACAGGCCCAATATCGGGGTCTTACATTACTGGCTCCTATCACTCGTTGATAATTTAATAAGAAAAAAGAAAAATCTGTAGAGTTATTTTATACGCACTAGATGCAATGCAGTAACCTTTTATTTCCTGGACCGAAATGTCCAGACAATCATACATAGGTCCAATATCGGGGTTTGAAATAATAATTCGTAATTTTTATACGAATTAAATATAACGGTGGAATGGAATCAATTATTTCAAACCCCGATATTGGACCTATGTATGGTTGTCTGGACATTTTGGTCCAGGAAATAAAAGGTTACTGCAGTGCATCTAGTGCGTATAAAATAACTCTACAGATTTTTCTTTTTTCTTATTAAATTATCAACGAGTGATAGGAGCCAGTAATGTAAGACCCCGATATTGGGCCTGTCCTGAAGACCTTTTTTTAGTTTTCTCACCTGGGCCTTTTATCCAGGAAACTTTATGCCACTCGTTTGCATTTAAAGCTTATGCAGATCAAATTAAAAGCATGGTCAATAGGATTTGTTTATGTGTTAGATTTAAGTTGCATACGTCAGTACCGATATTGGACTCATGGTATAGACCTTCCGTGAAATGTCCACTTGAGGCTTTTGGTCCAGGAAATATTTGCTCTCTGATTTTCATATACACCTAGTGCAGATAAAATTTTCGACGCAGGAATTGTTTTACAAATTAAATTCAGGCTGTATAAATAAACTCATCATAGATACCAGGATTACAATTGTGTACGACAGACGCGCATTTTGTCTACAAAAGACTTCAGTGATGCTTGAATCATCAAGTTTAAAAATACCGAATAAAGTTGAAGAGCATTGAGAACCAAAAAAATACGAAATGGTTTATCAATACAGCTAAAGTAGGCTATTCCTGATGTAGAAAATCCTTAGTACTTCGAAAAATGTGGTTTAGACCTTTCTAAGTGTAGTCATAAACTGGGCATTTTAACTAAAAAAAAACCGTAGGCCACAGGTTTGATTTTTTTTACAAGTGCGAATAAAAGCATTGACGTATGGAGTTAAATTTAGAGTGGATAAGGGTTCAGTTATATGAGATCCCTATATTTAACCTATAATGTAGACCCTCCGTGAGTCCTCCCACCTGGATCTTTAGGTCCAAGAGATCTGAGGTCACTGTCTTAAATTTGCATCATGTGTGGATCAAAACGTTGTCGAAGAAAACTTTTTAATTAAGTGATGGTAAGGGGTAGGTAATCTCAAACCCCGATTTGGATCCTATGATGTAGATCTTCTGTTGTTTAACCAATCTGGGCCTTTTTGTCGATAAAACCTTTTAGTCTACCTTTCATATGCATGTAGTCCGGATACAAGTATTGCCATTGGAAATATTTTCGAATTAAATTTAGGCCTTAGGAAGGAGATGAGTATTATCAGACCTTGATATTGGATCTGTGGTGAGATCTATCTTAGGTTTCCCCCTATGTCTGTTGGTCAAGAAAACATTAGGCCTGTAGTATAGAATTGACAGTTCGGCCGCACAAAAACATAGCACCGGTTTTTAAAACATAAAAAGTAAAATCACAAAAATACTGAAATCCGAGGAAAATCCAAAAAGGAAAGTCCCCAATCAAATGGCAAAATCAAAAAAACAAACACATAAAACGAATGGATAACAACTGTCATATTCCTGACTTGGTACAGGCATTTTCTTATGTAGAAAATGGTGGATTGGACCTGGTTTTATAGCTAGCTAAACCTCTCACTTGTATGACAGTCGCATCAAATTCCATTATATTGACAACGATGCGTGAACAAAACAAACAGACACAATAGGTAAAAATGTCAAAAATAGGGGTACAGCAGTCAACATTGTGTTATCATCTTAATCACTATAAAAACAAACAAATGTAGCGAAGAAGCACAAAAAGGCATACATCAAATTTAAAGACCTCATTTTGCTTATATTATACGATTTTATTTATCTAATTTATTTTATTTATTAAACCCGTAACCCTCACCATAAACCCTTAAAATAACAGCCCAGTTCGAAAACAACAATTGACTTGACAGGAGAATGATAAAATGATAAAATGAAAAATACAATATGAAATGACATCAACATATAAAGTTGAAACTGAGGAAGATTGTATATATACAGATGATCTGAACGGAAAGGTCTCATAAGGCTATGAAATGTGCACTGTGATATCACAGAAATTACAGAAGTGGATGGAAAATTTTGAAATAGTAAATTATTAATTGTTAGAAATAGAAGCAATGCAAATCACTACAGTCTCAGCTTACAATATACTACACAAAAAAATAAAATAAATTGGTGGGAACTTGTGTCCAAAGTAACGGTTTACAAATAAACCTACAGTTTGATCTGTAAATAGTATCAGGGTTGGTTTAAAAACTATAAATAAACTTTAAAATGATAAAAAAATCTGTTCTTAAGATGGGGAGTAAAAAGATATACAATTACGGCATGGCATTAACAAATACAATGGTGTTTGCTGTTGAAACAAAACCCCGTTGAAAGGTTTTGCTAGGAATCAACTGCTTTAAAAAACTAAAATATATGGAATTCGAAAGCTCAGATAATTGAACCAATTCAATCTAAAACTGACATAATGCTGGCGGAAAGAAACAGACATTTGTGGAACATTCTTTTAAGTAGTCAAACCTAGGAAAAGCCTTTGGTGAATAATTTACCACAAGGACCATCAAACCCAAAGTCTAGATGGGTCCAGAGACATTTTAAAATACCACACGTTTCAAAAGAATGGAAATTATAAATGGGGGTACAACGAAAATTGGCAAAAGTATTTGTGATTTTAAATTGTTTCTAAAGATGGTTGGTGATAAGAATGAAGACGAAAAACTTATATTTATTGCTGTACAAACATGACAAAGGCGTTCAACTTTAAAGATATGTTGAAAATGATGTAAAATAGCTTTGAAGAGAAATTTGCAAGTTGGTGGTTAAGCACTGACTGAGGATATTAAAATAAAATTTAATATCGATAGATAAAGGTCAATTGTCAGATGTCAACACTAGGTCTTACCTAAGTGGCTGGCAGACAAGAAAGCCATCATTGATGTGAAGAACCAGGACGAGCAATGTTTTATTTGGGCGATGTTGGTGTCAATACATTACGAATGGGTAGAACATAAAAGTGCTGACTTGGTAAACTAGTACCATCGATAGGCAGAAGAGTTCACGTTTGAAAAGATTGACTTCCCAGTGAATCTAAAGTTTGAGAAAACAATCCAATATATCAACCACCGTGTATGGTTTAG